AAAAAAAAAAAAAAGACCCTTTCAATTCATCTTGAAATGGGTGAATAGGCAAAATGGAGATGGGCAGTTGAGAAATATGAAATATAAATAAATAAATCTTTTTGTACTGCATTTAACAGTTGTGCTTATTTCCTCCTAGTCAGCAACGTATCAAGTTAGAACACCTACATGACATGAACTTGTTTTTATTGCTTTTAAAATAATGACAAAAAAATAAAGAACAACAAAAACACAAGATAATTAAATAAAGATACATACATCTGGGTTTTTTCCCTTTTCTTTGACAATATGTGCACACAAAATATGTACTTAATACCTGGACTCCAAATCATTTTGGGCTTTTGTTACAATTACCGTCTCAGAGAAATATATTGTGTCTTAATTCTCTCCTGCAGAAGAGAGAATGAGAAGTTTTATCTTCTTGTACTTGCAGTTTCCTTCTCCTGAGTGGGATACCGTTACTCCTGAAGCAAAAGACCTCATCAATAAAATGTTAACAATCAACCCATCCAAACGTATCACAGCAGCAGAAGCTCTGAAGCATCCATGGATATCAGTAAGTGCATAGTGAATCATACTTCTCTTAGTAGCTGCTTGGATTTTGATAATAATCTCCAGGTGACAGTGCTCCCCCGTTTTAAAGTGGGGGGTCTGCAACCTCAGAACCCAGGGCCTTCTAAATCCTTTCATTCAAGCCCTCCAAAACCTTTCAAGTTTCCTTTAGAATTCCCGAGAAAGTTGCTCTCTGAACTACCCAGTTGACACAGGGTTCGAATTGAATAAATAAACATTGTAGTGCTTAAGATTAAAGAAAGGAACTTTTTAAACCCAGAAGAAGTAATGATGGTGTTGAGTGCAATTTTAATTTAATTTAAAATTAATTTCTTAAAGCAAATTTCATTTTTGTCCTAACCCCATCTACCTCTTTATTTTGTACTTCCCCCACCATTTTTTCTTGTCATGCTGAAGGAACAAGTATGGCTCTTGACCACAAAAAGTCAGCAACCTCCAAATGTCATTGTTGGGAGGAAAAATTATACAGTAAAAAATTATACAGTACCTGCAAAACTATGCAGAAAATTGTGAAAAGCACAGGAGATCAGTCAAGATGATACTCCATTGCTCCTTTTTTAAAAAAAAGAAAGAAAGAAAAGAAAAATGAAATCTAATTGGGCTAAATGTTGAATCTTTTTGCAACATTAACAGGGAGCACCATTCTGCAACGGACTGTCTTAGTAGAGGCAGGAGAGGGTATGTGGATGTCCTACAATACTTAATCACTGCTTACTTTATATCAGCAATATATTTTAGTCCCTGCAGAAAAAGCCAGGTTGCAATAGCTTTCAGATACAACAACAGTATGGAATTGAAAAACAGAAGGCAATCCTGTTTCATAGATCATATTTACAATCACACAAGGAAATATGGCTTCCAACATAAGCCCAGGTTTCTAAAATAATCAAGGGTTTTGTATTCATTTTCATTTCTAAGCACGCTTTCTTTATATCTTTTAGCACCGTTCCACTGTGGCTTCTTGCATGCACAGACAGGAGACCGTGGATTGCTTGAAGAAATTCAATGCCAGAAGAAAGCTAAAGGTAATTATGGGACTTGGTGCTTCCCTGTTTACTTAATTGGAAGTTTCCACTTTCATTTGTTCCCCATGTTCATGTTTCATATCTTTCAAGACCTGCCTCCAGATTAGGCTTCTTGCAGGTCTCTATTTATATTTTACAGATCCAGATGACATCACTTGTAATGGGTAATTTTTCTATATTTTCTCATACTTGTGCTCACATTCTTTCCACACACAAAAAAAAATCACCAAAGAGGAAAAGACAGACAAAAGAACAGTTTAGACTGGACTATATTTCTCTGTATAACTAAATTAGTTTCTTTACATGAGATAGACCTGTTCCAAGTATAGACAGACAGTATTAATGCCACGGCCATTAGTTGAAAGTTGAAATCATTATGAGTTTCACTGTGGTTCTTTCAAAAGATTACCCAAGTGATCTCATTCATCTGAATGTGAAAAGCTAACATTTAGTCATTTCCGCACTGGGTGAAAAATTTATAAGAGATTTAAAAGTTTTCTAGACCATTGTTTTGCTAAAATAAAGAGGGCAGACTTTGTATTACATCAACTATGCTTGGGTGATGTTATTAAACTGCTTTATCACTAGTCAGGAAATGAACTTATTAATCTGAAACCTTTAAAATCTTAAAAGTAACTATAATGGTTTCTTGAGAGATTTCTGAAAACTGATATTTAGTGGAATTCAGACAAGTTGCAAATTTCAAAGGTGTGTGTTTGCCATTTTTAGACCACTTTTCACTCAGCTGTATGCTACTGTGGGTAGGAAAAGATTCAGTTAGGAGACTTAGCAGTAATATCATTATCAGTTTCTAGATTCAATGTTTTTTTGGATTATCTCTACACATACATTCTATGAACTCTTGTGGATTTCTTGCCTTTGGGCTGGACACTAACAAAATTACTGGCTAAGTAAGAAATAGTGATCTGTGTTGGCTTTTAATACAGAAATCTGTTGATTCTGCTAATTTATGCAGTGTATATCGGAAGTGGCGACCCTTTGAGAGCTTAAAATTTCATTTTAATGTATGCCGATTAGTGTGCATTCAAAGTGACAATAAAGTTATTATTATTCTGTTCTAATGTAATTTCTCACTAGCTCACTTGATTGAGATATTGAGAAACTGTGGATTGTCACATAGTCAGCCAGATATTCAGACTGGATTTAGCATTTTTATCCACCTATTGAGTCCTTCCCAAGGACTTGAGACACACAGGTGTTGATGGTTTGATGGTATTAGAGGTATGTCACTGAATTTTTATTATGATTATTTCTTAAATCCATTTTCTGTCTATCTCGCTGTGGGGCTACTCTAGGCGGCTTATAAGAGTAAAAACGCAGAAATGAAAGGAAGTGTAAAAGTAAATAGTAAAACAATAAAATAAACAATGAAAATACAGTAATGCGAGATTAAAAGAAATGCTCAACAGAAGAGAAGACAGACAGTAAGCAGTAAAGACACAGATCCATTTGACCTTTTTACCCTATGCCCCAAAATTATATTTTGATGGACATTTCAAATCTATCCATAGCTAGAATAAAACACAGAGGTGTAAATGTTGCATTCTTATGCTAATTCAGTTTTATTCGGTGCAAGTATATCTTGCTTTTTTTCTATAAATGCTAAACCAATTGCTCGGAATTCTACATCAAACAAATATGGAATGTTTCCTTTTCCTATTAAAAAGGTACACTTCCTGCTAACAGGAAGTAAGTGACCTTAACATATAATGTTGGGCTATGGCAAATCAGGCACCTATATTATTTTATTGATCTACATATCCAGAATGGCTCTGGATATGTTACTTCAGTAATGCATTGAAGTCTTCCCCCCATCAAATGGATGTGATGAGGCTGGTCATTCTTTGATGTCTATGGGACAATATGCTGAGAGCTCTGTGTAGTAAAATAATAATAATAATAATAATAATAATAATAATAATAATAATAATAATAATAATAATAATAATAATAATAATAATAATAATAATAATAATAGTAATAATAAAGTTGGAAGGGACCTTGGAGGTCATCTAGTCCAACCCCCTCTCAGGCAGGAAACCCTATACCATTTCAGACAAATGGCTTTCAGGCTCTTCTTAAAAACTTCCAGTGTTGGAGCATTCACCACTTCTGGAGGCAGATTGTTCCACTGGTTAATTGTTCTGTCAGGAAGTTTCTCCTTAGTTCTAGGTTGCTTCTCTCCTTGATTAGTTTCCATCCGTTGCTTCTTGTCCTGCCTTCAGGCGCTTTGGAGAATAGCTTGACTCCCTCTTCTTTGTGGCAGCCCCTGAGATATTGGAATACTGCTATCATGTCCCCCCTCGTCTTTCTTTTCATTAAACTAGACATACCCAATTCCAGCAGCCTTTCCTTATATGCTTTGGCCTCCAGTCCCCTGATCATCTTTGTTGCTCTTCTCTGTACTCTTTCTAGAGTCTCAACATCTTTTTTACATCGTGGTGACCAAAACTGGATGCAGTATTCCAAGTGTGGCCTTACTAAGGCATTGTAAAGTGGTATTAATACTTCACGTGATCTTGATTCTATCCCTCTGTTAATGCAGCCCAGCACTGTGTTGGCCTTTTTGGCAGCTGCAGCACACTGCTGGCTCATATTTAAATGATTGTCCACTAGGACTCCGAGGTCCCTCTCACAGTTACTACTATTGAGCAAGGTAATTGTAGTAGCTTTTATTTAGAGCTGCTAAATTGAAATGGAGGAGAAATATGTGCTACACATGAGTCGTTGTCGGCATGCCCAAATGCTTTTGTCTTTAATGCTGAACATGGAATGAGTTTGGGGCATTATAGTGTAATCTTGCATTTTAGCACAACACCAAATATGGAAAGGTTGGGGGGTTGGTTGTTCATTAGGATAATTTCTTCTGTTCTATGACCTGAGACAAATGATTGATGCATCAGAAGAATGTTAATCTGTTGAATGTCTCAAAGATAGATGGCATATTTGAGATTACACTTGGGATACTGTAGGAAATCCTCTTTAATACAGCAAGACATTTATCAGTTAGTCTGGTCCCATCAGAGCTCAAGAGTTACTTGTTTAATGAAGAATGGAGTTTACATTAACATTGGAAAGAAAGCTTTTTAATCTCTATATAAGGTGGTTATAATAAACTCTGTGTCCACCATTTGGAAACTTGCAGTTAAAAATCACTGGGCTAACATCCAGTGACTTGATTTCTGCAAACTGTTTGCTGTTTCTATTAATATCTTCCCTGAACTATATTCATCCTGCCCTGAAACAGGGCCAAAGGTACATTCCCCTTGTAGCTCAACCAGCTCCATTTTCCATGAGATGTTTTTAAGAAAAATGAGATATTAAGAGTGGGGCTGGGGGGAAGGATAGTCCTGATTCGGAATCCAACATTATGTCCTGTTTCCCCCTTTTTTTCTTTTTGTCTTTTGTGTGTTCCAGGGCGCAATCCTCACTACAATGCTAGCGACCCGTAATTTTTCTGGTAGGCAACCCAACTCTATTTACATGCTACTTTCTCACTTATTGACTACTAACTTTGGTTAGAAAATATGGCTGGTTGCTGCATTAAGACTTCCACAAGCAGGTTTGGACATTTTCATGTGATTCCCAAATGACTTTTTGTCTATGTATGTTGAAATGTTCACACAAGAAAGAGAAGAGAAAGAAAACATTTAAATTTATGTTGTAACCCATACTCAGTGGTGGTGACCTGAGGAGAAAGCTCTGAAGATCTTATGTTACAGTATGTATATTCTTGGACTGTGGCTTAATTGTACCACCAAACTAGGAAATGAAGATCTGATCGCCTATTTCCCTTACTATACTTTAAAAATGCCCCTGAATGTGCCAGTTTGAATGTGGAAAGTAAGAAAGAGTTTCTTTGGCAGAAGAATCCATGAGGAGCTTTAATACAGTCTGCACATTCTATAGCTCTGCATGAGGTAGTACTGAAGGTATTGGCTTCTTAAGATTAATTCCTTATAATTTTGTGAAAGAAAGATTCTTTTATGCAGTCAAGTATTCCTAAACATTACAAATAATTTTTCCCTAAATAACCCACCCCCATACCATTTTCTTCACTTAAAGCTGAAAAGCCACTGTAATTAATTATAGCTCAGGCCCCAATTCACAGAGTGTGATAAATGTAAACTCCCTTGGATTAACAGCTCATCAACATAGCTTGAGGAACATCAACTAATCATTTCCAAAGGACATATCTGCATACCATTGCCTGTATCTCATCATCCAACCACAGCTGAGACAGACCAAGGATAACTCTGAGAGTAACGTCCTCCCTCTTATTCCATCTCTATGCGTTGTGTGTAGGCAAAGTTGGGTATGTTGATGCCATAGAAGAGGTGGTCTAAAATGATTTCTTCCATTGTGATTATATGATTTATATAGCTGTCCACTAAGCACATGACTCAGAGAAGTATACATCATCAATAAACAGCAATAAATATTTATAAAATAACACAGAAAAGAAATAATAAAAAAATAAAACACAAAAACATAAGGCCATAAGATTCTTGGAAAGATTCATACAATGGGATCATGTCAGTCCATGACTCAATGCCTGGGGAAAGAATTGAGGTTACTGCCTTTCAAAAGCCAGATAGAACTGGGTCAACTGAATCTTGGGAGGGATGCTGGTCCACAGAATGGAGGCAGTGACAGATGGAATGTACTCTGGGTCCCATCAAATGACATTCGCTGAGCAATAGAATCTAGAACATTCTGACCCTATCAGATCTTACCAGGAAAGCAGAAATAAATAAAGCCCCAAAGGTGCTTTTCAAAAGGCAACTGGACTTTCTTAGTTTTTTCCTTAAAAATGTTTCACTTCTCATCCAAGAAGCTTCTTCAGTTCAGAAGCAAAACGTTTTCAAGGAAAAAAATTAAGAAAGTCCAGTTGCCTCTTGAAAAGTACCTTTGGGACAACCATGACCTGGATGATTGAGAATCTCCATACACAAATAAATGAAGCATTAGAAAACATGTGGCTCCAACTGGTTCTGTCACCTTCCTGTGGAACCATCATTTTCCACCCCATCACTGATTGGTCTTCCTCCGTCAATTCTGTTTTGGCTGTGAGGGAGACTGAAATCCAGCTTGTTTGTTTGTTTCTTTTTTAAATGGGTTGACCTAGACTGGTTGACCTAGAGACCTGGTCCTGAACCTTGTCCTGAAAATGACCCTAGCTTAAAGCAAGTAATTGGAAGTGTAATTAAAAATATTTGTTTTTTTATTATCTGTAACTTGCCTGGCAGGGAAAGCCCTTCATAGAGGTCACAATTATCAGGAACCTTGGCTTCACACATCCTACCCTCTTATAATTTTAGAGTAGTTTTACAACTCCCACACCAATCCCCACAGCAAATCCCCTTGCTCAAAATCTAGTACTCATCCAGCAACAGCACAAATCTAGATCAGGGCTTTTCAACCTTTTCACCCATTGTGCCACTTTTAGGATATGGCAACATCCGAGTACCACCAGTCGCCTAGCAAGGTGTCAAAAACTTGATGACCAAAAAAAGGAAAAAAGTGATAAAGTACAGGTAGTCCTTGACTTACAACAGTTTGCTTACTGACTGTTTGAAGTTACAATGGCACTGAAAAAGTGCCTCCCCAAGCCACAGCCTGCCTGCCCGGCTGCGCTCTTCCTCCTGTCCGAGGTTTTCATCGTGAGCATTTCTGTTGAGGATTGGCCATGGGGGTGGGGTGGGGGGGTGTTTGGTTTTTATTCCCATCATCTGCTGGGTGGTTGCAGCAGGTTTTGGTCATTTCACATGACCCTGTGACACTGTGACCATCATAAATATGAATCAGTTGCCAAGCATCTGGATGTAAATCACAAGACCCTGGAGATGCTGCAACATTCCAGCTGATCGGAGCTTCTTCTGGGCTCAGCAGAAGCATCAGGATCAGTGCTGCTTTCCAGCCGATTGGTGCTTCTTCAGAGCTCAGCAGAAGCACCAGGATCAGCGCCGAGCTCCAGCTGGAAAGTGGCACTGATCCTGGCGCTTCCACTGAGCCCTGACAGCCCTGCAGCTCCAGCCATCTCTCGCTCAGGCTTGTGCAGTGCTGCCACCAGTTCAGCTCATTCCCCTCCCCCGCTACCACTTTTCTAGGATGGTCGCGTACCACCTGCCGGGTGCCAATGTACCACAGGTGGTACCCATACCACTGGTTGAAAAGCCCTGATCTAGATAACTACTGGAGGGGAGCCCAAAAATAAAAAAAAACTAGATAGAATGACTTTTCCTGTCATTTAGTGATTGATAAGTTCTCTGGTTGATGCATAATTGCAAAGAATTAAAAAAAAGTTCAATGGGTCGAGGAGGCAATAGAAAAGGGGGGGAATGTCTGTGCATGACTTAGCCAGCGTATTGCCATGCCAATTTTCAAATGAAGGATAGTGTCCGGCAGGACTGGAATTCAATCAAGGAAGCCAAAATTACAGCTTTTACCACAGAATAGTGTGCTGTAGCAGCAATGGCAGAGCTCAGAAGCCTTCTGAGACCTGCTGGGGAGATAACAAGACTTAGGGAAGGACCCAGAATAAGAAGGAACATAGTGAAGCAGCTGTGTGGATGTAACCTAAGTTTGGCTTGCATAGTGACTCATGCAAGACATCAGGAAGAATAAACACTAGCATCTGTCTTCTAGCATTTCATATTAATAGATATTGACCATTTTCTCTGGATTATTAAGTGAAGACAAAATATAAAAATACTTTTTTGCACATTGATAGAAAGGTTGCCATAAGCAAATCAATCAAGTTTCCATCCTTCACACAACAGGGCAATCACCATTATTTATTAACAGATTACACTTGCATGAAAGAATTCAGATTAGACAATAAAAAATTAATTTTACACTATTCTGTGACAAATATTGGGTAACGTGGTTATTAATTCAGTGAGATGGAGTTTTTTAAGGAATAATAATGATGATGATGATGATGATGATGATGATGATGATGATGATGATGGTGATGATGATGATGATGTCTTTCTAGAATACAGGTATTAAGATGAAAGCATTTCCTTCCTGTGTAAAAATTGCTTAGAAGTGAGTTTTAAAAATTATCATTCAGGAAAGTAAGGCAGTTTTACTGGATTTTCTAAAGAAATCTTGAATTTATGGGGAATCTTCTAAAAACAGCTTCCATTTGCTAAAATTTCACATGAAGAAAAGTGGATCCAGAAGAAATAAGTGGGATTGTTTGATTGTCATTGTATTTGGAAAGTAATAAAATGTTGGCTTTAAAAGAGAAATAGCAAAATTTATGGAGGATTATAGTTATGCTGGGTACCCAGTGTATAGGTTCAGAGCCACTGAACAATTTACCATCCCTGATTCTTCTGGACTTCCCAGTCATCTCAGTTATTATAAGAAACATATTGTAACAAAATGCTGAACCAGACAGACATTTGTTCTGTTCCATCAAGTCTCCCTTACATTTTTAGAACTTGATTGATTGGGACAGATACCCTTTTTGGAGGGAACAATTGTTATGAACAGACATTATGACATTAAGCTATTTCAAACAAACAGATTTCTGCTTAGGAAATTACAATGTGTACAGTCCGCATTCTCATATACAGTATATGTGTCACTGTGGGACATGTTGGAAGCAAAACCATAATTGGCTGTTGCTTCTACATATCAGCTCGTGTAATAATGTATACATAGATAGCATTTACATGTAACAATATATAATTTGTTAAACCGGAGCAGTTAAGAATTTCAGCAAGTGGAAAATACACTGCAGAACTTTAAAAAAAAACCAAATGTAGAAAAATATAATGCACTTAAAAGATTGTGCAATAGATGTGTATTTGATGGAATAAGAGCATTTAAAGAGATCATGAGAAAAACATCATAACAACTTGGGAAATAAGAGAAGATATAGATCTTAACAATCTAAGGAAACCATTTAAAAAAAACAAAAAACCTAGAGCTGGGGAAAGGTTAATTGGCTGAGAATTCTGGAACTGTTACAGGTTTATCACAAAGACTAAAAAAAATCCCAAACTTTACAGTATGAACTTTCTATCCAGCTTGAACCAAATATAGTAATCCAGGTTTGCAATGGCAATGGGAAAGGGGTAGAAAAGAAGGTGCCTGTTTTTTATCATTGTCAAAATGTGGGCTGCAGCTGTCAGGATGTCATAATTGCAGCACGTGATCTCCACCAGCATGGGGGACTAAAATTAGCAGGAGAGCCTGAGAGTGAGAAAAGCAGGCAGGCACGAGAACACTTATCTACAGCTGACCCATTCGTGAACCGATGAAACAAAAAAGTGAGATCAGCAAACTTAGAAAGTGGAGTGATTTCATAGAGAAGATTAAATCGTGATGGCCACGTGGTGGGAAGATCCTTAGTCCTTTCAAGAAGGAATAAACAAACTTCACAGAGAATGCTCCTTCGGTTCGCCAACATTGCTGGGCTCTGTTTTGACTTCTTCAAAAACTTGGGAATACATGACTATAAGTGTCTGTGGCTTGTTTTGTTCTATTGGAAGGATCATAGCAATCCAGTTTGCAAGCTTCATGGGTTATTGAGAGACTTCTTTCAGACTGCTGGATTATTATCAGAGAATGCTGCAGCACTGAATGTGTGGTTTTCAGTTCCATTGTCTCCTGCTCTTAGTCAGTTCTCCTCATGTTGCTGGTTCTCACTCTGCTAACTCTGGTATCATGCTTGTGCCTCTTGACCTGGTACCTTTTCTCCACAGGAGGGAAAAGCGGTGGCAACAAGAAGAATGATGGTGTGAAGGTAAGTCCTCCTCATTTCTGGATCCTACAAGATGACAAATACGCTTGGATGTCTTTTCTAGTAGTGGGTCCCAGCGTGGCCCAGATCTTCTGTTTCATGTGTTGCTCAATTTTTAGATACATTTTTCCCATTCTTGCCTTTCGTACAAAAAATAAAACTGAAGGGGAAAAATATAGTTTGTAAAGCTTAGATATAGTAATGGTTGCCTCAGTTTATGCTCAATTTGCTTGATTAATCCATACCAAAATAAATGTGAAAAAAGAATTACAGAGCAGAATTGTGAGGACAATAATGGAGAACTAAGCAACGTTTTGACCTGCTCATTGAAACTGAGAAATATATTCTAATAATTCTCTTTTCATTTCTACTTACTTTTATAAATTGTAGAAAAGATTGTGCCTTTATTCTAATCTTCTGTGTTTCAATATTATCAGATAATTATGTGATTTCTTAGAAATAATCTAGGCTTGGAACTGATTTAAGTATTCAGAAGTTATAGTGATACTGCCTTCTTGTAGAACTGTAATTCACAATTCCCCCTACGGTATTTAATATCCCAGAATATTTCTGTGGCTGTGTATAATCTTACAACATACCCTAGTGTGAATTCCTCTTGATCCCCTTAAATATTAGTTCCTAGTGAATTATCTTTCCATGCAAAGGAAGTTTTTGAAGGAGGAGCCTTTACCACTTTGCAGATATCCCATATCAATATTCTATTTTCTATTATACCTCTGGCATTTCTACTCCTATGTAAGGGCTGTCACAGGGGAGCCTAAGAAGAGAATTAGAAAGTTAATTTAAAACGGGGATTAAAAATCTGAGATCTTCCAGAGGTTGCTATACTACAATTCCCAGTGGTCCCAGCCAAGATGGCCAATGCTGAAAGTGCATGGTGATTTGATTTAGGTAGTAAAATCCGTTAGATACAGTAATTTGTTTCTGGCTTAGCTTTTGAGCAGCGGTAAGAATCCCAGCTGTTACCCTTTTTTAAAAACCTGAATAGTTTGTGATGATGTTTAAGAAAACTACACTCTACTACATTAATATGATAAAGGAACTTTTGGAAACCTGAAAGAGATTAAAGAATTCAAAGGTTATTGTCACCACTAAAGAGAAGATAGTAAATCCAGGAACAATGCCTCTAAGTCTTTAGTAAGGCCATTGAGACTTTGAAAGCTGGTTCATGACTTTACTAAAAAGTGGATTAAAGCATGAACAACTTCTCTTTTTTTAGCAGCAATATTACTTCCATTGCTCAGTTCCAAACTATTTGAGTTGGAATAGAGTGTAATGTAGCTGTGCACTGACATTATTACTGTTTTATTTTCTGGAAACCAAAGTGGAATTTTCTGGAAAAGTGTCTGCCAACCCTTTCACAGTTCATGTGGTGGCTTGATGGTGGTCTGAGGGTGTGGAAAGGAATGCAGTTTCAGAGAATGACCATATATATGCCTTGGAGATTCTGACTACAGCACTGTCGGGCCAAGATATATATTTATGCTGAGGCAGCTGGCTGTTCCTAGTACTAAAAGCCTCTCCTGGTGCTCTCACTGTTAATTCCTCTCAGAAACTAACCAAAAGAATCAGTTTCTTCCTTTATCATGGTTAAACCAGCTTACTGATATATTCTTGTACTTTCCCCCTCTTATTTCTGTGTGCAGTGGGGAAGTTTTTGCTCGTTTTGTTTCAAGACACAAATGTCAGATTCATGGCCACAAGATTTGTGTATTTTTCTAATGAAATCCATGGTTTGATAACTGCTCCCAAGAAGCAAACTTGAAGTAGGATTCTTTCCATGAATAGTCCATTTTAGAAAGATAGATATTCTTCTTTGGCTATAACAACATCTCATTAAAATAAAAACTTGTCAGCTAATCCTTATTCTTTTGACCAATACACTGTTATATGTATTGAGAGATAAGGGGTTCTCTTCTTTTTAACCAGCAGCTCACTGTCCCAGTCAGAATCACATCCTCACAAACTAAATTAATGCAATCACTGCACTCCAACATGTCACATCCTATGTCCTAAATTACTAAGTTCACTTCCCTGTACTGTGTTCTTTTATTATGTGTTTGTCCTACTTAAATGAAGTCACTGCTTTTGTGTTGCATCGTGTTATGTCTGATTACTTTTATAATTATTGTCCAGTAAGATTTCCTATTGCATCTTTTACTAGGTTTTCAATGGAATTATCATAGATCATAGTCTGGGTGGTTCCATTTTAGATAGTAACCCCTGTTCTCCCTTTTTTAAATTTTCAGAGGAGAGTTGTTTTAAATTATTGCTTCACAAGATATGATCTTATACATAGGTGATAGAAGACTGTGAAAATCCCAGATGCCAATGGGCATGAATTTGCTATTTCTACCCACATGATCTGAAGCATATTGTAATTAAATTTGCAATAGTCACATTTGAAACCTGTTTCTAAGGGCTGTGTGAAGCACCTGAGGTGCTCAGCTGAACTCACCGTCTGAAGTGCTGAGATGCTACATCCTTTTGGAAGGGCAACACAACCACTTCAAGGCACTTTCTACCTTGTCTGAGCATGACTAGGCATGCTCACAAGAATTGTTGAGATTGCTGCCAAAGCAAAGCAGAGTACAAAACCCAAAACTGGATAGTAATGATGATAAATAAGAGGGAACTTCAAAACATTTTTGACTGCTCATTGAACTTCTGAAATGTGGTAAGGCGATTCCCTTCCAGTGTGCAGTGTGAAGTAATTTCATCATGAATTAAGGGGTAAAGTTTTAAATTATATTTCTTGGGTTATTTCTAGGATTTCTGCTCTAATACGCAAAGTGCTAATTTGTGGTGAGTCCAGGTCTGCAGTTAATGAGACGCTGATTTTCACCATTTAGTATATGAGTGATTTTTGATGTCATTCTGAGATTATGTGCAATATAATCTCTGCTCCTTAGATTGTAATTAGAATGTGTATTTTTTGCAATTAAGCATTAACCATATAATAAAAATCTATTATTTTTTTCATCCTCATTTTTTAAAATTTTTCTAATGAAAACATTTGTTGACACATTCCTACATAAGATTAATGATTACTACACTTTGCAGAAATCTAGGAAAGAAGAAGACAAGATAGAATAGCATATATTTATTATTTTTGTTTCCAAATAAAGCTTAGCAACCCTCTTCTTTTTAGTGGGAATGAAAATATTTTGTCATTATTAAAATCCAGTTTTCAGATTTTCCTCTTGGGAGAATTTCTTTCCAGGCAAAATTGTATCTTGTACTCCACTGTCACTACGGCCTACATCAAACCTACAGTTTTGTTACCTGGTAATCAGTGCAGATGCATAATATGGACATTTTGAAAAGTGACTGTGTGGGATCAGATATGCTTCACGTATCCATGCAAAAGACTCTGTAACTGTTTTTAGAACAGCGCCCCCCACCTTTTGGGCACTAGGGTCCGGTTCCATGAAGAAAGGTCATTCTGCGGACCGGAGGGGGTGTGGTTTTGTGTGCTGCCTGCATCCTGTGGATGGGGCTTCACTTGTTCATGTGGCTCAGCTGCTGGCATGCCATGGGCCAGTGCTGGTCCACAGACTGGAGGTTGGAGACCTCTGTTTTAGAAGAGTACATCCATTAATTATTTTTTGAAGCAATGGATTTCAGCTGTACCATTTCAGCTGTTTAGGTTAGTAAAGTAAGAGGCTTTCAGCACTTCAGCAATTATTTAAGAAAGATTCAGATATTGGTGTTGTAACATATCCTGCCTCATTAAGTTGAGTTACAGAGTTGTTTGAATTCCTTCTAGCTTATCTTCTGATTCTAAATGAACAGTTTTTGCCTATTCCACTAGCAGGATGTCAATCTTTCCTCTTGGCAAGGCGGGTTATAAAAGTTTAATGTTTTGTTATTGGAAAGTTGAATTTAGATATTCTTGTGTTTATAAGAAAGAGTAACATAGTTTTAGTTTGATATCTAATATGCATTCAGCTTGGAAAATTTTCACTTGGAAATATTTGCTTTGGCTTGGATAAGAAATGAACTAAGTTGAGAATTAGATGTCAAGGCTGTTTTAGGGTAACAAGATTCATAGGGAGCAAAGATGAGTAGCACTCAGTGCGAATTGGACAATGTTGATTGAATTGTCCCCTGCGTGGGAAATTTTAGGTTAGCATGCTGTGTGCAGTGCTTGTTCTGTCTTTGCTGAAGACATGGAACTCTTCAATTAAGCATCAGGCTTACCCACAAGAAAACCCATCTTCTCCCATGTTCTGCTCACTTCTTTCTTTCTCACTCTGTGTCTCTTCTTGTCCCATCTCTTCTCCTTGTTTTTCCAGAAAAGAAAGTCCAGTTCCAGCGTTCAGTTAATGGTGAGTGTCCTTTGTCTTCCTCAATGCTGATAATGTTGGGCCTCTCAACATCTTCCAACCATTCCTGTTCTTAGAAAGCATAGAGGGTTGGGTTGAAGGTTGAACCTCTTCGGTACAGCATCTCCCCTACAAATCCCATTAAACAGGAATGGATGGCACAAAAAGAAGCTGAAGCCCACCGAGGAGCACCGAGAACCTAATCTGAATTTCTAGGGAAAGGTTTTCGATGGTGCTTATCATTTAGGAGACGTTCAAACTACCTCAATAAAAAGGAGACATGAAGGAAAAGGCTATCTAATGTGGCTCTGCTGGAACTGTGCAATCACAAGCAATCAGACAGCTGGTGAAGCTTGGTTAATTTGTTGTTTGAGACTGAGATATGTTAAAAAAAAAAAAAAAAAGGTCTCTGGTGGGATGAATTAGTAATCCTATAGCTACCAGAGCTGTCTTGCTGATAATGTTGGAGAGCAAATGGCTCCCATTTCTCCATGTTAATTTGTGTACCAGTTGGCTGTTTATGGAAGAAAGTGTGTGTCAGGCTTTGATGGTCTGTGTGGGTCTTAGAAACCCTCTTTGTTTTACTGTACATTTCTTTCTTTACTATGCACTCAGTGTGGCCTCTTTCACTCCTGCACAATCTCCCTCTCTCCCTCATCCTAGTTCCCTCCTGTTAATTTGTACATATTGTCTTTCACTTCTACACAGCCCTCTTATTCCTCCTAATGATAGGAGATTTCAGGACCTTCATTCCTGCTGTACTAATCAGTCTTCTTTATGATGGTAGACAATTGCAAGAAAGGTGATTAAGTTTTTACAAGATAACACAGTCGGACCTCCTGTTTACTTCTGTAAGACATAGAAGTCAGGGCAAGTGTTACAGATACAAAGCAAGAGCTGCGGTTATTGACCTGTACTGATGCTTACCTGGTTTTTGTTTCTTTGCAGTGTTTGGTGCTGTCTGGGTAGAACCTTAATGAAAGGTTAACAAACAGTTCTGAAACAAAGTCGGAATAGTCTTACTTTGCTCCAATATTTTGATTTTTTTTCTTCTTTTCTGGTCCAGGAATCTTCAGAGAGTACAAATACCACCATTGAAGATGAAGACACTAAAGGTACAATATAAAATATTGGCAGACGTGGTGTTGAATTGTTTCTAATCCTTTTGAGTCAATAATTCAGAGTTTAAATCAGCTCATTACCGAAATAAACATTTGACCCGTCTCATTACACAAATACAAATGCTTGTCTTAGCTATCTCGACAGTACAAAATTTCCCTGCAGGATATTACTTCTGCTATAATTTCAGTTCATGAATTGGAGGAGAATTAGATTTCATTCATACTACTGCATTTCTACTGATCTATGCAGTCCAGTTCCTAGGATTATACAATGAGAAAATACATAGGAGAGACGAACGATGGGATTACCCTCTACAACCTTGCTGTTGCAGTGCAGCTGTTGCAGTGCAGGGCTGAGACCATCACTGAGCGTTGATCTGGATAGTTCCCCTGCTCTGTCCACCTCCTGTGATTCCTAGATGTACCTGTCCTCTTCTAAGGCACAAATATCAAACTGCATGTATAGCTGTAAACATAAATCAATTAGAATAGAATACTAAAGAGGCCAAACAACCCACATGCTTTAGAAAATGTTCTTCGGTATATTTTTGTTTCCCTTTTCCAACTATTGTTTATAATTGTCTTCCAAAAATGGACTGTCAGAGCTCTTCCCTTGTCTTGTATTAAACTAAATCATTACGTGGCACAGAGATAACGAGAAATGGAATTTGGTTGAAAGAGAGAACAGAGGTTGGCAGGAGCATACATCAAGCAATTCTTATTAGTTTGGCTGTCAGTGGCAGCAAAGGGTCTTACTGGTTGCACACGAGCCTCGGAATGAAAAACAATACAACCAACTTGCCAATTGAGAGGTAGCAATTATGGAAGAAAGTTATTGCTCCCCAAATCTTGCTCGTGAGCTTTCCAGATGCATGTGGTTTGCCAGAATGCGGGATTAGATGAGCCCCTTGCCTGATCAAGACGTTCGTCATGTTTTCGTTATGGACCCTTTTATACTATTTCAGTTTAGATGGCTCTAAATGATCGGCCATATGCACCAGAACAATAAAACAATTCAATAATAACAGAGTAATAAATACACTCTTCTACAATAGATAGGGCATAACTCCTCAGGGTGCCGTCGGCCAGGCAGTGTCGGCTGGCGACCCCCAGGGGGAGGGCCTTCTCTGTGGGTGCCCCCACCCTCTGGAACGAACTACCCCCCGAGATCCGGACGATCNCGGATCTCCTAACCTTCCGCCGCGCCCTCAAGACATGGCTTTTTCAACAAGCGGGACTGACCTAGGGTGAATTTTAAATAGGGAATAATTTTTTAAAGATTTTAATAATGACACAGCCATAAATATATTTGGTTTTTAATTGGTTTTATAGGGGAAATGTTTTTTTGTGTTGTTTTTTTAATATGCTGTGAGCCGCCCTGAGTCCCGTGGGGAGAAGGGCGGCATAGAAGTTGGAAATAAAGTAAAAAAAGTAAAATCTCCCTCAGGGTAATCCATAAATTACTTCATCCACCACTTTCCAGTGGCCTTTCAACATAAGCCAGTCTTAACGTGTTTTTGGAATTTCAGTGAGGGAAAGGGCCACTCATGCCTTCAGAGGCAAGTTGTGCCATAGAAAAGGAGAGAATTCCTGCTTTTGAGGACTTCTTGTTGGATAACTCCATAGATGAGAACCCTTGGAAAACACTGACTGCTTAAATGAATTAGGTAAGCCTATTCGAGCAGGGGATTGGACTAGAAAGCCTCCAAGGTCCCTTCCGGCTCTATTCTATTCTAAATACTCTTCTCAGAATAGATGTTCTTCAAGATCATAACCTTAGTATGATGGGAAAGGAATTGCATGACAACAGCATCATCCTGAAAGTAACAATATTTTCACATCTATAATAATAATGCTGCAGGATCCAATCTGGGTCGGTCACCGGGACCAGGGATTTTGTCTTACAAGCTTTCGGACTTGTGCCGGAACCCGTTTTCAGGGAACATCTATCTGAAGATGGGCTCCAACATGAGTTTGAAAGCTCAGAAGACAAAACCTCTGGTCCCGGTGACCGACCCAGATTGGATCCTGCAACATTGTCCTGGGACATGTATATTCTCCTTCATTTATATACAGTAATAGTAATAATTGATGTAAGATATGCATTCCATCCAGCTTCCCTAGGAAAGGATTGCTTTGTATGATTCTGCCTTCCAAAGAACTCAAAAAGCATGTTGAAGAGTTTGACACTGAGGGAGAGAGACATTAAAAAAAAAAAACTTTCTGGCTTATCCACCAAATGTGTGGATCCAGAGAAAGCATTCAGGCATTGCTTCATGGCAGCTTTTTCAGGAATAAGATCTATATAAAGGCACACAGCCTTGGCTGACAGTGACTTATTAACATATTTGTAAGACTTTGTAACTGAATCCCTACACCCAATTGTTTAAAAGAACATCTAAGTGGATTTTGAGGTATATTGCTTTCTCTTTTTCTTTTCTCTGAATTGCTACCCTCAATGACTTCTCTTTCTGGGATTCAAAACTGGTATTGACTGGATGCATATTTGTTCTGGAGAGTTATTTGGAGTGAAGAACACTTCTCAGTCCAACTCTGTTGGTTGAAACATTTTAAAAACATGGTTTGGAACAAATATTATCAGAATATGCACAAAAAATGAGTTTAGAGTCTTGGTAAAATTATTTTAAGTGAGGCTATCTTAACCTATCTTATCTGAGCTGCAAAAGCTAAGATAATTGTGTTTCCTTACCTCTTTGCTGCCATCTAGTGATTATCTGGATTTTTGCAGCCCAATAGCTATAGCAATTGCTGGCCTATTTCCTTTTTTTTTTTTAAACAAACTGTCTAATCATCAGTGGCAAATCATTTCTCAGGATTAATAGTTTCAGGAAGAATACTCCTGCATGTTAGCAACAACATTTCCTCATTAAATTTATGTTTGCCCGCATCTATTTCCCAATATATATATGCCACCTACTCTTCCGATTCTAAGGAGCTTACAACTTATAAAGTAAAACATTCATATAATTATAACATCCATCCATAAAACTAACAAATCAACTAAACAATGAAAAACTTAAACCCACCACTGTAATTCAATGTATTTAAAAATCTCTTCAAGAGGACGGTTTTTGTCATCTTCTGAAGCATCTTCAGAGTAGGACCACATATAACCACAATGAGCAAGTTGTGACAGAAAAAGAGGGCCAGTTACTTAGAATAACAATTTAAAATCTAACTCCCAGATAGTCTTCCCTACCATTTTTTAAAAAGGCAAAAATGGAATAGCTAATTAGCTCCTGAATTGTATAGGCATATAGAAAACCTGGTCTAAGGAGAAAGATTTTTTACAAATCTTATGAAGGAGATACTTCTCTGGCACAACTGTGTGGTGTTCAGGAATTCTGACATTTATAGAGAATGATATGCCATGTTTCTTTAAATGAGCCCATTTCCTGAAATGTTATGCACCAATACTACTAAAAATAGTTGTACCACAGTCCCAAACTATATCCTTCATATTTCCTTACTTTTTGAGATGACTTTTCTTTCTTGATTCATACCACACCATTTCCAGTCAAGACAGTGGCAGATGATTAGATGAAATTTGCGTCTTCTCAATTTTCATTTACGACACAACTGAGCCCAAAATTTCTGTTACTAAGCAAGACAGTTAAACGAATTTTGCCCCATTTTATGTTCTTGCTTGCCACAGTTGTTAAGTGAATCCCTGCATACATTAAGTTAGTAATGTGTTTATTAAATGAACCTGGCCTCCCCATTGACTTTGCTTGCAAAAGGTCGCAAAAGGTGGTCACATGACCCTGGGACACCGCAACCGTCATAAATACATGTCGGTTGCCAAGCATATGAATTCTGATCATTGTGACCATGGGGGTGCTGCGACGGTCATGTAAAAAATGATCATAAGTCATTTTTTTCAGTGCCGTTCGAACTATCACAAAACTAATGGTTGTTAAGTCGAGGACATGCTGCTTAATTTTCTTGTGGATATTTTCCCCATATTTTGTTTAATAAAGCAATTAATGTAGAGGTTTCGGGTTCATTTGTATTTTTTTTTAATCCTGCTGCCCTAATACTGCCTTTGAGCTGCCCAGTTCACTGTGTTATATTACAGTTTTCAGTTAATGAGAGGTAAGTGGGAAACAATCTTCTCTTGACAAGGACCAAAACTCTCCTTAATTGTAATAGAGTGGGGAAACTTTATTTGTCCAATGCAGTCTGATTAGCATGACTGGTAATTATTCTGTGTTTCTACTTTTTTTATTCCTGGCCATCCTCTGGGCTTAAATGCTTTGTTGTCCTTCCCTCCCTCCCTCCTTCCCTCTTGAAACAACTTATCTCTTCAAATATTGATTAATAATGTAAAGAACCAAAGGTTGCCCCCAGGATCCAGTCTATTAGTTTGGCTGTGGCTCTTCCATACTATCTGCATTTCTGTACTGCCTCAATTATTTCCAAAGCAGTTTGAATCTGACCTAGAATCATTTTCCCCTTGGTTGACTTTGAAATGCAGTGGATGGGAGCACATAAGATTGGAAGAGCCTTGCTGGGAGCACATTTTTCGATGGAAAACTGGAAATTGTCTTCCAGCTATTTCACCTCAATTCATATTAAGACAAGCTACCTATAATTGGAGAGATGACAAAGGCCCATCATTTTTGATAACCTGATCTTCCACCAATTTGTCCAGTCTCCTTTAAAACCATCTAAATGGCAGCTACTGATAGCAAATTCCAGCTATACACTGTGGAGACAAAAAATCCTTTTATAGCCCTAGAATTTCCAAACATTTAATTTTAATGAATTATCTGAAGTTATAATATTATACGGAAGGGAGAAAGCTGCTTTTTACCCTCAGAAATACACAGTTTGCACATTTCTTTGGTGTCTCTCTATATGTTGCATTTCAGTTTATAAAGCTTTAGTTGCTATAGTTTTTTCTTGTAAGAGAACTGCTCTGGATATGTAATTGTTTGGGTTGACTTTTTTCATATTTTCTAGTTTTTTAATATCCTCTTTTAGATGCAGTGACCAGCATTGTGTACTTTCTCCAAATGTTAGTTTTTATATATTTTCCTAAGGGAGTTACTGTATCAGCAATTCTAGTTTAAATTCCCTTTCTGATATTCTGATATTCTTTGTTCTCCTGTCTTTCTCCTTCTTAAACAGCAGTGAAAATACATACATGCGCGTGCACACACACACACACACACACAGAGAGACATACACACAGACACACACACATTTATGTATGTTTGTGTGTGTGCACGTGTATGTGTATGTATTTTCACTGCTGTTTTAGGAAGAAGGAGAAAGACAGGAGAACAAAGACAAATTCTATGCTCAGAATATCAGAAAGGAAAGAGCCATGGTGCACAGTGGTTAAAATACAATATTGCAGGGAAACTTTGCTCACAGCCAGCAGTTTAATCCTGACTGGCTCAAGGTTACTCAGCCTTCCATCCTTTCGAGGTCAGTAAAATGAGGACCCATATTGTTGGGGCAATATGCTGACTCTGTAAACCACTCAGAGTGTAAAGCACTATGGAGTGGTATATAAGTCTTAAGTGTTATTGCTATTGCCAATTCCCTAGGCCACATATCTTCTTCCATGCCAGCTGAGTTTGCTCAGGATTTTCTTTGTGAAATACTTCATCAAATGTTTTAAAAAATCCAAGTATATAGTATGCCTGAGTTTATATAATATACACCAAGTTCCTTTGCCTATATGTTTGCTGATAACATCATCATCAACAAAATATTTGTAAGATAAGATGTGATTTGTGGAAGCACTGCTGGCTTTTCAACAAGCTTCATTCTTCTATGGATTTACCTACTTTTCCCTTTAATAATACAACCATTTCTAACAGATTTACCATTTCCACTATTGCCCCTGGCTATTTTCTAGCTCTTTGAAACAGATAGTGATGTGAAATATGAATTGCATATTTCTGGGAAAAGATCAAAATTTTCAGGTTGGCTTAGAACTTCATGTTCATTACTTTTACTTTAATCTGATACAGCTGAGACCCTATACCATTTCAGACAAGTGGCTGTCCAGTTTTTTCTTAAAAACCTCCAATGATGAAGCACCCACAACTTCTGAAGGCAAGCTGTTCCACTGATTAATTGTCCGCACTGTTAGAAAGTTTCTCCTTAATCCCAGGTTGCTTCTCTCCTTGATTAGTTTCCATCCATTGTTTCTTGTCTTTTCTTCTGGTGCTCTGGAAAATAAGTTGACCCCCTCTTGTGGCAGCCCCTCAAATACTGGAATCCTGCTATCATGTCATCCATAGCCCTTTTCTTCTCTAGTCTAGCCATTCCCAATTTCTGCAACCGTTCTTCATATGTTTTAGTCTCTAGACCTTTATTTTACTTTCATTTCCTTCAGTCTTCCTCTTGAAAAAGCCAGCTTGAATATAAATATCTATACTACATTCTCACCTGTAAAAGCAGAACAAAATAAATGGTTTTATATCATCTGGAAATGTGACAATCACCCCTTCAATCTGTTCATCTATGTCCATTTTAAAAAAAAACTTGGCAGGTTTAAGATGTGTGGACTTCAACTCCTAGAATTTCCCAGCCAGCAGGGGGAGCTTATTTATTTAAAATATTTACTGTATATAGAGCCACCCATCTTCTAACCAGCTCTAGGCAGCTCCCAATAAAAGTTAAAGCGCCATTTAAAACCATATTAAAACAATAAAACTAAACATATTAAAACATTAAAAACAACAACAAAAGTTGAAGTTCGCATACCTTAAAGTTGCCAAGTTTGAAACATACCGGTCTAGATCCATAATAAAAATGTTGAGCAACATATGAGCCGGGACAGATCCCATAGTGTTCCACTTAATACTATTCTCTCTAAGCTGATGGGGAGCCATTTATGAGAACTTTCTGAGTGTGGTCATTCAGCCAGTTATGACAATTATATCTTTTAGCCCATCTTTTACCATTTTATTAATAAGGATAACAGAGACTTTGTCAAATGTTTTGCTGAAGTCAAGATATACTATGCCCATGACATCCCCCCACCAGTTTATTAAGATAATGAGTCTGTTAAATAGAATATAGGGTTAGCGTGACATGACTTGTTTGTGATTAATCCATTCTGCTTCTGGCTAATGTTGCATTCCTATCTAAGTGATCATAAATATGCTGTTAAAAATCTATTCAATCAGGTTAATTGGCTCTGAAATTCCTTCAGTCCAACATATTCTTTACTTTTCTGAAAAGAGGGACACCTTTTGTTCGCCTCCACTTTTGGGGGATGTCACCAGTTTTCCAGGAAAGATGGCAGGAGTTGTGCAACCATCTCTTTTACATCCTTCCATGTTCTAGTAGTAATTCATCCTGGAGATCTGACTTTGTTTAAATTTGCTAAGTGTGCTTTTATCCTCCCCTTGTTCAGAATTATCTGCAACTCCTTCCTTCCATCAGTGACACTACAGTAGTCATTGGGGCATCAGTTCCTTTCTGAGAGAAGGCAGACATAACATAGGAATTGAGATATTTTTACTTTTCCTCATATCCTATATTTTCCTTTATGGATGCTATGTCCCTGGAGCTGTGATGTCTCATTAGATGGGGCTAACCTGTGTTTGGAGAGCTCTATCAGCCAGTCGGTGCTCACCTTTTCCTCATGCTGCTCCTGGAAGGGTTCAAAGAAGATAATTCAATGAGTGCTCCACTTTCTGAATGACTCTTGCAACCTTCAAATGTAACAATGAATTACTAGCCTTCCCATCCATATTTTTCAGTACAAGTACTTGTGATTGCTGATTTCTGGGGGTGTGTGGGAAATCTGATAAGACGTTCTTCAAGGGAAGGTCAATTGTTTAAAAAACAAAAACAAAAAACAAAAGCATTAAAATAGTCCAAACACTTCCCAGCTGCCTTGCTGCTATTGTTATATTTAAACATCTGTGAAGGTGAAATGCAAGTACATTAACAATTTCACTATTGGTTGCTTTTTCCAATAGCTGTGATCATAATTGCATGTTGCAGCTGTAATTGGATGGGAGGGGGAGAGATGAATTCTAAACAATGCATATAGGAAGAGACAAACTTCAAGAACATGATGCTAAATTATTCTTGGGAGATAAGGGATATTTGCCTTGAGCTCAGAACCAGTAAGTGAGATGAGGCAAAACTTTATGCAATGGGGAGGTGAACTGCCCCATCCCTACCCCAAAACCTGCAGAACTGCAAAGAAAAGCACCAGCTTTGCAGTCCTTAAATGAACAAACAAACCAGGGCAGAGCCAAAACCAAAGCTGAACTCCTGGTGAAGTGAGGTTAATCAAGGACGACACCAGTCTCCACAGGGCACAAAACAGGGCAGAAGATGTTGAAGTGAAGGACACGCATTAATTTTCGGTTTTGCATAACTGCTGCTGCAAGTTGTTTTTACTTTGCATAATTCATTCTGGTTCAGATAGTTTCTGATATGCAGAAAACCCACCCTTAAGATACTGAAGAACTTATTTATCATCACTGCGGCTGCTGAGGTGTCCCAAAGGCTTGAATATATCTTCAAAGCAGTGAGAAGTAGAAACTGGATTCTCCAAATAGTGAAACCTGATTTCTATGCCCAATCACATTCTATGCGTTTCCTATGCACAGCAGAAACAGACATACAGCTCTAAGAAGTGCTCCTTATCGTTGTCAGTTTCCATTTAATATTTTCTTCTCTCTTTTTTTAAATCCAACAGTACGGAAACAGGAAATCATTAAGGTGACAGAGCAGCTGATTGAAGCAATAAGTAACGGGGACTTTGAGTCCTACACGTGAGTGTATCTGCTGTGTGTTTTGGTTTGTATAGAGCAGGGGTAGGCAACCTTGGCTCTTTTATGACTCGTGGACTTCAACTCCCAGAATTCCTGAGCCAGCATAGTTGGCTCAGGAATTCTGGGAGTTGAAGTCCACGAGTCATAAAAGAGCCAAGGTTGCCTACCCCTGGTATAGAGGGAAGAAACACACTTCTCAGCTTGCCCAGTGTGTAGGAGAATAGTTAGTACCGTAATTCTAAATGCCTTATCTATGGAAACCAGCGTAGTGATGTTGGCGGGATTTGAAAGGTCAGCTTGCTCTGAAGGCAAGCAAATTAGTGACTTTCTTTGACTAGTATTTAAAACATAGCTAGAAATTGACCTCAGGAACTTTCTATCTGTCCACTGTAAATTATCTTGTTATTATCGTCCATCATAATTATTTAAAAAATGAATTATTTTGGACCAGTGATAAATCTCACCTGTTACTGCTACTAAATTGTGATTCCTGGCTGAGAGAATGAACTGCATGAATGTATTAATGAAGAATAGGGGACAAAGACCTGGTTTTTCTTTTGTCCCTGAGAATGAAGTTTAAAAAAACAAGTATTCAAAAACCACTACTAGCTCTGAAAATAACTAAGTAGCAAGGTGATTCAAACATATCATTGTTAGATCCCTGCAGAAATCTTGAAAGAGATATGGAATTAATGGGAAACATTTTTTTAGAGATGGTTCAGATAAGACAATATTGCTCATTCTTATAACATTCTGGTGGATTCAGACAATATTTGACCTTCATTTGTAATCCCATGTTTTATTTCATTATTAAAAGGGAAGACAGAAAAGCTAATTAATGGTAACAAAACATCCATGAATTACAAGGGTATATCCTTGGTGGGTAATTATGAATTAAGAGAGTAGTCTCCATACATTTTTTTAAAAAAACCAAACAAACAGTAGAATGTTTTATTTGGAAACAATAGTTTATTTTCTCCCTTTGCTTTTATTGTTCTTTTAAGGTTTATTTTCTTTTAAAAATAGATTTCTCAAACATGGCTCTACAAAGTCTGCCATACCATTTAAGAATAATCAGTACAGTACGAGCAATATAAAATAATGCCATTATTAAATTGTTTAAATCATAAACCAATAAAAAAACAGTAGCAAAGAATTCCCATCTAGAAGATCTATAAAACACAAAAACTTGTGGACCAAGTACATGTACCACTTGAAAATTGAAACCCTCCCTTTAAATTGTATCAGAAGTCAACCACCAGCAGCATAGTTTTCTTCACACAGTTGACATGGACTTTTAGCAGGTCACTGCTGCTCCTGAGAATACTGTAAGACTTTTAATTCATCTTTATAAACACCCCTAAGCATATTATGTCAACATATGTCACAATATTCCAGCATGGAACTTATAAAGATATATATTAAGGTAGATTGGTACAAGGTACTTCTAACAAGAATTGACACTTCTCTCAAAATGAACACCTGATCCTTCAATGAGATATACAAGGAAGGGACTTTGATTCCAAATCAAACCAAATTCCTATAGCAAAAAAAACAAAACAAAATCCTTCTCTCTTTGAATTCAGTTTCAGTGTGCTTACCATGTTCATAATTGACCTTGTCATGTCAATCAAAAGTCAATTGGATTGAGATGGGTGGCTATAGAAATTAATTGAATGAATAAATAAATATCCTTGGAAGCAGTGAAGGACAATCTTTTTGGAGAAATTACCCCACCTCCATTCACAGCCTTTTCTCCCTCTTTTTCACTGATGGGTGGGTACAGTTTTATACTCTCACTTTATATTCACCAACATGATGAAAAGCTTCTAAATAAATTTGAGTAGTGAAATAATTATTTTTCTCGATCCTCTACCTTTTTATGGATATCTCCAGTAAAATGTGTGACCCTGGAATGACGGCATTTGAACCAGAAGCTCTGGGGAACCTGGTGGAAGGGCTGGATTTTCATCGATTCTACTTTGAAAACTGTAAGCATCCTTTATGTTTTGAAAAGTTGCTGGACTTGGATTTAATTCTGTGTATGTCTGTGTGTATGTTTAATCCCTAAACAATCAAAGGATGGAAAGGGGAGGGCATAGTTACGTATTTCTATATGGAAGAGTGTTTTGCTTGTGAGAGAGAATGGTTGTTATATGCAAATTGAAGGATTAATTAATTATATAGGCCATCTTTATTTATCTATTTATTTATTTACAATATTTATATACAATCAATTATAGGCAATTAATTTTAATTTGTAATTTCCTCCTCCTTCTGAGTTTGTCCTTTTGAAAATGGCTTCTAATATATATACACACACATACACATATACACCTTCACCTACACATGCATACATGATAGAGATAGAAACGGAGATAGAGATAGAGATATACCTACATATAATGTGTTGCATTCATATAATTTGGGAGAAGGGAAAATTTCAAGGAATAGTTTGAGCTGGAATTGGAAACTCTAGGTTGTTAAGGCAGAGAAGTTGGCATTTATATTCTGTCTACTCTTCCTTTCATGAAGTCAAACACTGAGTTTTGAATTGATGCTGTATATATTTTACTATTACATTTCTACAGTTCTCTGGTTGTTTGTAAAACAAAATCTGAGGTTGCTATGATGGAAGGCTGACAATAAAAAAAGGCTAAACAGAAGTATTTAATACAGATTTAAATCCCTATTCATACAGATTATTCTTAATGATTCTCAAAGTTTTACACAAAATCATTGGTGTTTTAATGTGAAGTGCATGTTGTTAGATTCTGAATCTGAGCTAAAAGTTTGCACAGTTAAATTAAGCTTCTTAGATTCAGGTTTGAATTGGAACAGCAAAAAGTGTTTGTAGTCAATGAATAACAGAAATACACATTTGAAAGAAATATTGCACTCTTTTTTAAATGTGGCTGGAGCACGCACTGAAATACTAGCAAAATGCATCGCACACCTGTTTTTTTCAATTGATTCAGCTATTTCTTCACAAATGAGGTAATAATCTCTCAGGTACCCTGAGAAGATATTGGAAGCTGCCTTCATGTCAGTGAGTTTGGTTTTTCCCCCCCCATCTGCAGTGTGGTCCAGGAACAGCAAGCCAGTGCACACAACCATCCTGAATCCACATATCCACTTAATGGGAGATGAATCTGCCTGCATTGCTTACATTCGTATCACACAGTATGTAGATACAAGTGGGATCCCACGCACTGCCCAATCGGAGGAGACTCGAATCTGGCACCGCCGGGATGGCAAATGGCAAATTGTTCACTTCCACAGATCTGGAGCACCTTCGGTTTTACCACAGTAAGTCAATCCCAAGCTATGCTGATTCCTATTATCACTCCTCTTGGCACACAGATAGCTGTATACAGGTGTGTCACTGTAAAATATGGATTCAAAAATTCATTCTAAAGAAGATAGTAAAAGAGAACATCAGTCAAAGTCATTGTTAATGCATCCAATATATTAGCATGCAGTATTATTTCATTATCTGTGCCCAGCATCTAAATTTAGAGCTCTAAGAAGTCCAACAATGAAGCTGAACAAACATTAATGTATTGTTGGGCTTTCACAAGAATGAAGTATATTTTAATATACTCTAAATGGATCCAAGATAGCATAAAGTTAACCTTCCTCTGTTCATATCCTTCTCAGAGGCATGGGTAATTTTTATAGCTTACATTAATGTGTTTGAATAAAACTGCATTCGTTAAATAAATAAGTGGTCCTTTTCTTCAGTGTTTTTAAAGAAACTGCCATTCTTTCTATTCCATTATCATATCCATACTATTATATCACAGTATTATATAATAATGGTATGTAATGGATTTTTTATACTGTACTATTTTGTGCTGTGGGAGGGTTGACATTTTACAGCCTGTGATGAAAGAGTGATGACCCAGCAGTAAGAATTTGAAACATGGGGTTCAGATTTTCCTTTTCCTTTTTTTTAAAATAAGAAACTTAGTAAACTATGTAAAATTTTTCCTGGAGGGATGGAAAAAATGTAGATTGAGCTGAACAACACTAGATGATTCACCCATTAAAAGCAACGAGTGCTTAGCTCTGAAAAGTGTGGATTTTGCATTCTTTTGCATTCAGCCATGTGTCTGGAATTGATTTTTTTTTTCTGTTGGGTTCTTATATGTAACAACTACATGGATGTTAGGTACAATATGACCCTTTCCATGCAAAGTAGAGCTGCGCCTATTCATTTGGCCGCTATAGACGGGTAAGAACTTCATTAAATTAATTTATCAAACATATAAATGTGCACAACTGTCAAGATGATTCCATATTTGTCTAACAGAGGACATTCATATAGCTTTAAACAAGTGACAAAAATAATTAATTATATGAGGCAAGAACGGCTAGCTGTGAAGAACCAGTTTTAGAAAACAGTGTTTGGGTGGAGTAAAATTTGCCCATCACTAGCCACCAGCCCTAAAAAGCTGCAGTGAAGCCCATTTTTATAACTGGGTTGACAATGCTTACATGTATGCTCTGTCTTGCATATTCTTTTATATCAGAGTTTGAGGGTTGGATATGCTATCTTCCATCTTCTCTCTTCAAGAGAAAATGGCTTTAAGCAGTTCTTGGGGCTGTGTGGGCCAACCCTAACTGAACCCAGTAGCACAGGTGTGGGGAACGATGGCTCTTTATGACTTGTAGACTTCAACTCCCAGAACTCCCATGCTGGCTCAGGAATTCTGGGAGTTGAAGTCCACAAGTCATAAAAGAGGCATCGTTTCCCATACCTGTAATAACAGCTAGTCATTAGGCAATTCTTAGCAGGCTGTTCTCTTCTGGTCCCAAGGGATCATGGGTAAGAAGAAGCCCTTCCAACATAGCAGTCAACCTCCTATACAGTACATATTTGGTGTTAAAAGCCATCTTTATTTCCCCAGATTGTGAGAACTGGACACCAGTAGCAAACAAGGTTCCATATTTGTCTACAGAGGGCATTCATACAGCTTTAGACAAGTGACAAAAATAATCATGAGGCAAGAAAGGCTAGCTGTGAGGAACCAGTTTTAGAAAACAGTGTTTTGTTGGAATAAAACAACTATTTATTTTTGTGTCTTTCAGCTGAAGCACATGCCCTGCAGGCCAGGTTTCTCACTGCCTCACTACAAAAGGAAGATACTTGCTATCCTTTATCTAGGGAACTTGGCAGCTGGCTCTCCTATTTGTTTCTTGCTGGAATTCCTTTCACCCTTGGAACTCCTTACCAAAATAAACTGAGCATTCAATAGACTTTCTCCTCCTGTTTCACCTGGTTCATGTTTGCTATTCTGTGCCATCCTAGTAGAAGACAGCATGTGTCATGGCCCTGTTGCAGGAAACAGCTTTCTGTATACAACAAGAAACCAATCTGGAAGAGGCTGAGATAAAGCCTTCATCAAATAAAAAAAACACAGCACTTTCTGGCCTCTTCTCCTGGAAGTTACAAGCTACAAGTAGCTGCTCCTTCTAATGGGAGGCCAATTTCAATTGGAACATCCAGACACTACGTGAGGAAGCCTCTCTGAGTCAATGCCAGCATTTTCAATTATACCTGACATCAGCTGTCAAGTAAATACGATATTACACACTCCTAAAACCAGGAAGCAGGCAAATAACTTAGGTGCCCATACGCATCTAATAAATAAACAAAAATATTTGGTTTAAATTATTAATTACAAAAATTCCAAACAAGTGTCTATCACTTGAGAAAATCTCTATGTTCACAAATTTTTCTTGAAGCGAATTAAGTTTTATTTTGAATGGTGTGTAAAATATATCATTAATTTATCTTCCCATCAGAATATGTTTTGTGATTAGGCTAATAGATATTCCCAACAATTCTAGCAAGAGAAACGCCCTTTTCTTTCATTAGAGATTGGGCTGAAAGGAAATGGCCAGTAGTTTGTCATCATGACCATGACTCTAAGTCAGTGTTTTTCAAACTTGGCAGTTTTCAGATGTGTGGACTTCAACTCCCCATGCTGACTGAGGAATTCTAGGAGTTGAAGTCCGCACATCTTAAAGTTGCCTGATTTGAAAAACATTGCTTTAAGTCAGGGGTCTTCAAACTTGGCCCTTTCATGACTTGTGGACTTCAACTCCCAGAATTCCTCAGCCAGCTAAGTGATCATAAAAGAAATAATAGCTGGAAAATATTGACCCAATAGCAATTGTTTCCATGTTAGTTTTCAATATAGTAAGATATTTTCAAAATAATGAAACATAGTGAAGTATATAGTTGCCACTATTCAATTTACAATAGGAGCTTTGCTTATTATGACCAGTTGGGAAACAGCTGCCTAAAAAAAGTGCTGTTTTGACTTCATAGGCTACTGGCATTGTCTTTGTCTCAGCAGGCCTTTTGTTTCCTTACCTTTAGCATTATGAATCTTATCTTCTCTTTGCCTCTCCAAGACTTGGATTCTTAATTAGTTAATAGCAGTAGCAGGGCTCCCAGATCTGGGCTATCTCCCTTTGCTACTATCTAGCAGTCAGCTGAATTTTGATAGCACCAAGCAGTAACATTCAAATAAATCAACAAATGACTCCCAAAGCCCTCCACCTACTGTACCTTTTCTACATGTACATTTCAGGAAACGTGGCAGCATGGAAGATATCTATGGTGTGGAAAAAGAACTGCCCATTAATCTGAAATAAAAATAGAGGCCAACCCTTTCCAGCAAAGATAGAAAATGCAAGCTTTACAAATGACACTTTGAGGCATTTTGATGATGCTTTTAACAAACGAAATGAAACCTTTCGCTATTTCTTGTACTTTGCATGCCTTTTTACAGGAAAAATGAAACCCGTGTTATTTCGTAAACTTTTGAGTATTGCTGAAATGGATCTTTATGTAATACCTAGAAATATCAACTGTTTGGGTTTGTGGTTGATTTTTTTTTTTAATAAAGTTGGGGTGGGGTGGGTGACTTAATATGTTATTGTTTACATTTGGAGTTGACTTGTAATAAATCGTTATGAAAAGTGTAAAAAAAAAGTACAAGAAATTAAAAATGGGGAAGAAGGATGTGTGACATGGCCCTGTGGAAAGGCAGAAAGAAGTTGACACAATACAAGAAACTGGTCAGGTTCACTTGTTATATGCTACGGAAGTCTGACAATCCAAACTGCACATCTGAATGGCATCATGAAGACGGAATCAACTTTGGAACAGTGGCAATGCCTGTTAATATATCATGACATAAAAGCCAGCTTGAAGAAACAGAGAAATGGATTCTTCTTAAGCCTGTATAATTTTTTTTTTAATGATAAAGAAAACATGTTGAAAATGACCTTTGAAGGCAGCACCTACTTGCCTTCCAAGGATAGATATAAGAAGCCTGAGGATTATTTTTTTGGCAGTCTCTCTGTTTCTTGTTCCCTTTTATTTTTTTCCAGCTTTAAGAGTCTTTACTCTTTGGTGTGAGATTAACTCCCATGCACTTCTACTACCAGGGGAATGAACTTATAAATAGCACTTCCTTCATTTGCATGACATCTAACTCTATAGACCGCTATATGTATTTCAAAGCAAACAAACAGTGCTTGTTTAGGAACAATTACAACAGAAAATGGATAAGCTTGCTGTATACATTTTGAATGATGTAGTTTTACCTTTTCCGTAAAAATGCTTAGCTTTCCATCTTCTAAGACAGTGTGAATACCTGATGCTATAAAACTATGTTTGCAAAATGCAAGACTAATTTCCCACTGGAGCAGGAGGGAAGTGATGACAATTACAGGGCGCCTACTTGATAGGATTTGATTGCCTTAAATAGAAGTTTACTTTTTTATATGGAACAAAATAGAAATATACCATTTACACAAACTGATAACATAATTGGATAATTCAGTGAAGAATTATATTGAGATTATTTGAGCTGAGAAGGGCTTTTAGAGTTCAAGAGGTATTGTATTATTGTATGGATATGAATAAATGTTCATAATTAAACTACTTGGCTTTCAGAACATTTGGGGGGCTTCCTTATCCAATTCTATCCTGGCATTTCAGATTAGCATGGCCCTTACTACCACGGACATCTTATTTTTGAAGGGTTATTCTGCCTCATATCATAATTTTATATTGAGCATCACTAAGCCTTCTACCCAGCCCTGGATTCCAAGGAAGAAATGTATCTTCTTTTGAGCTTGAATCTCCTTTTAACTTGTTTATCCTTAAATAATTGACTAGAGAGCTACTCTTGTGCTCTTTCCTCATGAAAATCTCAATTTAGGTAATAAATCTTAGATATTTGTCAGTGTTGCTAAACCTTGGCAGCCCATCTTGTCTGAGTTTTTACTTGTAGAAAGGGTCTCCTACCCATGTTTTCTATCAAGTGTTGCCATTAAGTATCTTTCTTAATGGCAACTTAAATATTGCATTTTGTAATATTTTATAGCTTCCAGCATCGTTTTGAACAATGCTTAGGCAAGCTAAGAGAAGCTGGAGTCTACAGGAAGCTGAGTTGAGTTTTTAGTCTTCCAGTAAAAAAACAAACAAACCCTGATAGACTGAAATGTATTTCAACTCCTTTGAGTTTTGCCTGCTGCATCTGACATAAGCACCTGCACCTTAATCCTTTGGATTGCATTGGCATTTGTAAAACTTTTTTTTTTTTAGGTAAGGAAGCATTTATAGCCACATTATTATCCATTGCTGTACTTGTTTCTCTTTGCATTTTCTGTCCTTTCTTACTCTTTCAGATTTCTAGCATTTATAATGGCTCATTTCTCATGATTCCAAACATCTGCAAAGAAATTGTCAATAAAACACAACACGTTCTTATTATTTATTTTGTACTTAGTGGGGCTCATAACTAAGATTATCTTTGAAGACTGACCTGCTTTCATAGGCCAGACAACCCAGTAACTTTCTTGATTGTAACATCAAAAATGCGGGGAAGAAGTAGCTTACATACTGTACATCATGTTATCCTAAGAAAAGAACCATTTCTATTTTTATTTAAATTATTTTGGCAGGGAGAGGGAAATTATTTTGGTGTCTAATGGATGCTAACTTTTTTCTAAGCACAATATCTTTGTTAATCTTTGGACAGCATCTCATAACATTTGCCTGTTCTTCCTTTGTCGGCATCATTTTCCCCCCCCCTTCTAACAAAATTTACAGCTTCTTTGAATTTCTTTCCACCCCTTCCCCAAGAAATTTCATTGATTTTAATTTTTTCCTACCTTTCTTTAAAGCAGAGGGGAGGGGAGGGGAGTGATTTTTATAATCTAACAAAACATTGTCATCCCATACAGAAAAATCAGGCCCAGAACTGTCTTTTGGGATGTTGCATCAAAGTAATGGAAGCAAATTCAATGCTTTTTTTTTAAAGTAAAAATAGCAAACGTTTTGAGCAAAAAACAATTCCTGCACTTATAGTTAAGAAACGATGTGCAACAAAAGCATCATGAATGAAAGGATAAAGATGCACAAACTAATCCAAAATCAAATCTTGTCCATAAACTGCGATGCAGGAGGTCTTGTCTTGACATTATTCTTTATGAAAATAGGAAACCAGGGCTGATGTGTACTTTGTCTATTAATATTTTTATATAGCAGTACGGAGATATCTCTTTCTCTGAATTTTTTTTAAATCAATCAAGGTATCTAGTTTAGCTCTAGTAAATTGGACAAGATGAAAGAAGGCTGCTCCAGCTGAAATAGTTTGCGAATACAGAAACTAATTTTAAAAGAATAAAGGAAGAATATTTTCTGCTGCGCTATACATTTACCTATTCGTTATTTTGCAAATCAACTTATTTCCGGCTCTAGAAAATAATAGGCACGTTGCTGAATTAGAATGTTTCATAGCAGAGCTTGTGACATTGTACAGTGTCAATTAGGCTGGTGAGATGATTCCCCCCCCCCCCCTCTAAACAAATGGAGATTCCAAATGAAGATTCTGTTCAACTTGGCTTCCTGCGTGGCTGGGAATAGAGGCTGATTCTTTTTTTCTTCTCAGTTATCATTCATATTTTCTGTTTTATTAAGATGGATTTATTTCCTTCTCCTCAGTTCTTGCATGGCTGCAAACAAGCCACTTTTTGACTTTTTTCTGCCCTAAAATAAAATCTTTGGGACACAGTTTGGGATTTTCTTTTTCTAAGCGTTGCACAATTTTATGACTTTTTAACTTTAGGGGGAAGTAACGGGAAAAAAGTTAAATGGAACTATGTGTATATATAAATATATATTATATAAATAACAAACACACAATATATGTATATATATATATGAAATACCTTTGGAAATATTTATTTCACACAAATGCAAAAAGCAAAAGCAAACTGAAAAAAAAAACAGCTTTGTAATGTAAGCAAATAAAAACTTCAGAGAGTTTCTCCCTGTCATTTGCAACTTGACTGGAATACTCCAAAAAAAATATATCTTCAGTATCTTTTG